ACCTTGTAGAGGAAGAGTTATGAAAGATGATAACTTTGTTTCAGGGTATTTGAAGTGTCCTGAGACCCGTAGCCCATAGCAATTTTTCATTTACTAAAGATTAAAGAGATGTGTCAATTCTAAGTATGAAAATAGATGTGAAAAGTTTCTGGATTTGGAAACTGTTGAGTTTTAAAAGAGAAATATTTTTGAACTCTCTTGTTTTAGGATGAGGATACCTTCATGAAGTTTCTAAGTGAAGATATCCACCAGTGTGCACTTTTAACAGGTTTGAAGTTATCCATATAATTCTCCTATTCTCTTTATGATAAGACCTGAAGTAGATCAAAAAAAATAAAATGAAACCAGAAAATAAAAAAGGTCAGGTTAAATAATATAAGGCTTTATTACTCTGTTATTGGAAACAGAGAAATATATTTAAGAATCTTTTGGAGGTCAAACTTTTAAGTTTTAAGGTAAACCGATTTTTAATGAAGCTAAGTAAAAATGGCTATTACTTTATAAAAGACTTCACTTACCATAAGAATTTACCTTGGCATTTCTTTAAATAACTAGCTCTTAATGCATTTACAGAATGACTCGACTTAGAGTGGACACAATGTTTTCGAAGTATGTATTTACTTAAATGAAAGTATGCCTGTATAAAGAATTTCCTTAATAAGGTCATTTATTTTCAGACATATCTGTATGTGGGCATTTTGATGTATACTTGATTTTTTTTAAATGTATACATTTAGAGTTCTATTTCCAAATACACCCTAAACTATTTTTTCTAAGTATTCACATATCTATCACAATCTGAAACTGAAGATAAGTCCTTTATTTATTTATTTATTTATTTTGCCTTTTTCACCACCATCCTAAAACAAATCTTTTGAGATAACCACTATTCTCAGTTTGGTGTGTATCATTCTAGGCCTTTTTCTTTGCATCGATAAACATATCTATTCTCATACTCAGGAAAATTCATAGTACTAGTCTGTGGACTTCTTCCTATCACTCTTTTTCCTTTTTAAAATTCTGCAAATCTGCTTAAACAAAGGAGATATATCACTGTTTTAACTAGCATTTCCTTGATTGCTAAAGAAATTGACAATTATTTCATTTTTTCATAAAAGGAAAAATGTTGTTATGAATCAGATACAGATGTAAAACTCTTTGTAAACTGGTTGGGATCATTCAAATATTTACAATAATAAGTACTACTATAGAAAGTCTTACAGCCTTATCTAGCCTTGTTACTAGGGCCCCTAGCATAAGCATAAGAACCCTCTTTTAAGGCTGGGGACCTCAAGGGTACCTCCACTTCCTCAGAGGAGCTGGCAGGTTTTACGAGCCCTTAGCATAGCCCAAATTATCTCAGTTTAGTCTCAACTTTTTTTTTATGTTACCTGTATCTGAATCAACACCTGGTGAGTGAAGTACAGATCCCCCCAAAAAGAAGCAAAACTGGTTTAATAACCCCTGACAAGTGTGGACTCCAGGCCTGCCTGAAGTTATTTGGGAAATGTTTAAGTGATAAAAGAGTAACCTATGACTTCCTTACTCTCCTGGGGATGACAAATATTAAAAAAGAGAGCTGACTAAATGCAGTGTGGTGTCCTGGACTGGATTCTACAACAGAAAAAGACATTAGTGAGAAAATTTGTAAAAATCCAAATAAGACTGGGAGTTTAGTTAATAGTAATGTACCAATATTGTTTCTTAGTTTTTTACAATGTACCCTGGTTAAGTAATGTATTAAAATTAAGGAAAACTGAGTGAGGAGTATATGGAAACTCTACTATTTATTCAAATTTTATGAAATCTAAAATTATTCCAAAATAAAAACAAAAAAAACAAGAAGGGAGCTGATAGCATGTCTACTAGAGTATCTATAATGTCTCCTTAATGCTCTGACATAAAGCATCCTGGCCCAATGCAAAATAAATTACAGTTCAAGGCCTCTTGGCTTGTCTCTATGGAAAATAGTTTTAAAAATGTCTCATTTCTCAGATTGCCTTGTAAGAAGGTTAAGGCAGAAATCTATTTAGGAAAGAATAGACATTTCCAAGAAAGAAAAGAATTCTTGCAAGAAAGCAAGCTAATGCAATTAATCATAGGCAGGTAAGTGGAGTAAGAAGTCAGCCACGTGTGTGGGGAAAGGCGAGCAGCTGGAACTATAGCCAAGACTAAATATAGTTAAAGATTTTGAGAAAAAGAGAAAGTAGATTTTAGTATAGGATACTTAGTATGTGACTCTAGAATATTTTAACCTACGGCTAAGAAGAAAATTCAAATTATTTCTCAAGTGTTTTAAATTAATATAAGATGAAAGGCCCTAACACCCTATTTCACTTTCAGAAGTAATAATTTCTTTGGGAATTAGTTACTTAGAAGTAGTTCTTTTGACTCACTTATAAGAAACCCAAAATTCATTAAAACAGGAAATGTTGGTTTAGAAATGTAAAACATATTTCACATTTGAGGGCCTAATTTGATATTCTTGCTTTACAATAGAGTTACTTTTCTACAAATTTATAATGATCATTAGTGGCTCTATGTCAGTCTTAAGTTAACAGAATTTATTGGGTACCAAATGAGAAAAGGGCAAAAAATTTAATACATGTAACAGACTTCATTTTGGCATTTCACTATAGTTTAAAGGAGTATTATTTCTAATAGAAGATATGCTTCAAATGTTTTGATTTTAGGTTTTAATATTTTTGTCACAAAAGCAATACATATCATATTACTATAAATACCATTGTTAACATTTTGGTATTTATCCTTCCAGATATAAAAATGGTATATGTAATTTGGGTTTTTTAAGTAATATAATAATGCTTTATAAAGTTTGGCAGTATGAAAAAAATAGGCAAGCATGAGCAACTTGTTCCTGAACGCATCTCCTCAAGTAAGGGAAACAAAAGAAAAAATGAACACATGGAACTACATCAAACTAAAAAGTTTCTCTTTGGCAAAGGACACCATCAACAGAACAAAAAGGCATCCTGCAGTATGGGAGAATATATTTGTAAATGAGATATCCAACAAGGGGTTAACATCCAAAATATATAAAGAACCACGCCTCAACAACCAAAAAGCAAATAACCCTATTAAAAAATGGGCAGAGGATATGAAGAGACAATTCTCCAAAGAAGAAATTCATATGGCCAACAGACACATGAAAAGATGCTCCACATCACTAATCATCAGGGAAATTGAAAACCACAATGAGATATCCCCTCACACCAGTAAGGATGGCCAGCATTGAAAAGACTAAGAACAACAAATGCTGGTGAGGATGTGGAGAAAGAGGAACCGTCCTACACTGCTGGTGGGAATGTAAGCTAGTTCAACCATTGTGGGAAGCAATATGGAGGTTCCTCAAAAAACTAAAAATAGAAATACCATTTGACCCGGGAATCCCACTCCTTGGAATTTACCCAAAGAACACAAGTTCTCAGATTCAAAAAGACATAATGCACTCCTATGTTTATAACAGCACTGTTTACAATAGCCAAGATATAGAAGCAACCAAAGTGTCCATCAGTAGATGAATGGATAAAGATGATGTCCATATACACAATGGAATACTATTCAGCCATAAGAAATAAACAAATCGTACCATTTGCAGTAAATGAATGGGGCTGGAGGGTATTATGCTGAGTGAAATAAGCCAGGCAAAGAAAGACAAGTGCCAAATGATTTCCCTCATCTGTAGAGTATAACCACGAAGCAAAACTGAAGGAACAAAATAGCAGCAGACTCACAGACTCCAAGAAGGGACTAATGGTTACCAAAGGGGAGGCATGTGGGAGGGCGGGTCGGGAGGGAGGGAGATGGGAACTGAGGGATATTATGTTTAGTACACATAGTGTGGTGGTGGGGTCACAGGGAAGACAGTGTAGCACAGAGAAGGCAAATACTGAATCTGTGGCATCTTGCTGCACTGATGGACAGTGGCTGCATTGGGGTATGGGTGGGGACTTGATAATATGGGTAAATGTAGTAACCACATTTTTTCATGTGAAACCTTCATAAGAGTGTATATCAATAATGTAATAAAAAATTTTTTAAGAAAAAAGAAAAAAATAGGCAAAAATTCTCATAATCCTATAACCTTAACATCACAACTTTTTTTTAACCTTTCAAAAGCCTCTCTATTAGTATTTTTGTCAGTTTGGGGGACTTATTTTTTTATTGCTTTAAAACTCACTGAATGTCTAAATTATACTGGCTAAGGACTGTGCTTTTAATAAATGTGTAATAATTTCCTTATATTATTTATTAGAAATTAACCAGAAAAAAATAAATTCAAACTTTGGTACCATTTTTCTAAAATACATTAAAAAGGGCAAAATATTGGTTTCAGCACCAACTCATCAGACACTCAATTTTGAACGAATACTGGGGTACTTTTGTGAATAACACTGTTCTAAATGATTTGAAGCATTCCCTGTCTTTAACAAGATTAAATATCAAAAATATGAAAACTTTCCTAGGTAAGTGCCAAGTAAGTGGTACCTATATTAAGTGCTACAGAAGTCCAAAAAAAGAAAAATCTAGTTAGAAATTAAGTGAGACATGAGGTCAGTCTTGAGGGATGAGGAGCAGTAGTTAACATTTACAAAGATGAGGAAAGAAGGTATTCCCATTAGAAAGAACTATGTGAAAGCTAATGGTCTGATAGGAGTGAGCTGTTTTGTTGTACAACAGAAAACCAAAATGAGAAAGCAGAGGGACCCTGCTGGAGAAGGTCTTGAGAGTAAAGTCGATTTTGTCTTTATAACAGAAAGCTAAGGCATTCATGTTCTATATGTAGTTAATAGGAAACTATTGCAGATGTTTTAAAAAGTGTATATTAAAAATAATATTCAGTGCTGATAAATTGAAAGCTAGAATATAAGAAATTCTATTTATTTGGATATTAGATTTATAAGTCCATAATTACACCCATAGAAGAAAAATGCAGAGGTAGAATTTAGTAACTTGTTTTTTTCCTCCTTGGTAGATTGATGGAAAACCGAGAGGTTATTTCATATTGTGACCTTCATGGCCATAGTAAGAAAGAGAATATCTTCATGTACGGCTGTAATGGTAGTGATAGATGTAAAGCATTATATTTGCAGCAACGAATCTTTCCACTTATGCTGAGTAAAAGTTGTCCTGATAAAGTAAGCACCTTTAAAGACTTCTTACTACATGTTGCCAATGTGAAATAGAGGAATGGATAATAGTATTCAGTAAACTGCTTTTTCATTTTAGCTGTTTTTGACTTGTTTACATAATTGATAACAAATCAATTTTGTGGAATGTTTAGTGACCAATAATTCGAAATATGAACAAAAAATGCACATTGTCCTACCACCATACTTAATGATAAAGACTGACTGTTTTTATTCATAAGGTCAGGAACGAGGCAAGGATATCTACTCTTAAAACCTCAATTCAGCCTTATACTGGAGGTTCTAACAAATGCAGTCTTATGTTAGAGATTCTAACAAGTGCAGTAAGTCAAGAAAAAGAAAGAAAAGGCAGACAGATTGGAAAGGAAGACATAATGAAGATGTTATGATTGTCTTCATAGAAAGACCAAAGCAATTCACAAAAAAACTCCTAGAATAAGTGAGTTTAGCAGTGTCATAGGATACAAGGTCAACCCACAAAAACCAACTGCATTTCTATATACTCACAATGAACAATTAGAAACCAGAATTAAAAACAGTATCATTTATCATAGCTCCAAAATAAGTGAAATACTTGTGACTGCAAATGGGTGGCATAAGGGAGTTTTTTAGAGGTGATATAATTATTTTATATCCTGATTGTTGTAGTGGTTACAAAAATCTATCCATGTGTCTTCATGTAACTGTAGATTAATGATAACAAAATTTTAAAATCTATCCATGTGTTAAAACTTTTAGGCTGGAACTCAAAAAAGTCAATTTTATATGTTAATTTAAAAAATAAAATTGCAAAACTCTTAGTAGACACTCATGTTATAATAGTCTCTCAGGACAGCTTTCAAATGATTTTTCATATGAAAATAAAGCATTTTCAGAAGATCTGCAACACAAATCTTCATTCCTAAATATGTCTAAGTCCCACCCTATAACTTTTTTAAATTATAAGATCCTATCTCAACAGTACCAAGAAATAATCCATTGGTTTTGAATGCATATATTACATATAGATAAGAGTAAACTTTATTGCCAGAATTCAAATCTATAGTTCTCAGAAATGTAAATGTGTCATCCTAAAAATGAGTTATTTCCATTGGTCAGGAAATAAAAGCATTTCCTAAAGCTTTAGAAAGAACGAATGCTTTTGGCCTACTTTTTCATTTTCAACCCTCCTTTCCTCTTAAGAAAGATATTGTTACCAGAAAAATGCCAGGTCTCATTGGTTTCTTTCCAGTTTTCTTTCTCAGCTTGCAAATTTAATATTCAGAAGAGCAAAGAGAGAACAAAGGAAGAGTAGTAATGTGGAAAATGAGTATCAGAAACAGTTTTACCATGGAGGCCACTTTTTGTGGGTCTCCTCTGGGTAAGACCAGATGTTCTTATTTATGGCTTTCCTTTTAAACTAAAAAGACCTTTTTAATATAGGATTAATAGTGTGGACAGTTTGATAGTGAGCATTTTCTTTCACTTAGATATATATTGATACTAATTCTACAATTAGGTTGAATAAACAAACTCCCACTGTATGTATCTCCATGTCATCATTTCCCTTCATTTAGAAAAGGAAAGTTTTAGCATATAGATAGAGTACCTGATTGGTTGTTTCATGAGCTAATCTTTAATTGCTTGTTTTTTGGGGTTTTTTTCTTAGAAGGAGTTCCTACAGACTCTAGTGATTTCAAGAAAAAGCAATATTCATACTTAAAATATCAGGATAAAAATGTTTTTACTAGATTTGCTATTTGCAAGTCAAAAGATACTGCGGGTTTAGTGGTTTTGTTTTTGTTTTTTGTCAATTTATATTTTAATGGAAATATTTGGTTCCTTGAACTAAAAATAAAAGTGTATTCTGTAGATCCATTTAAGAAATCTTTTAGTCACATCTAGCATATCCTTATCATATTCCATATCGAGATGATTGTCGCATTGTTAGCAAATGCATCAAGTCCAAGTATTGGAAATCAAAACATGTCATTTCTGGCTAGTTTTTAAAGTACCTTGAAACTGATATGACATTATTAATAATGATGAAAACATTAAAATCCTTACCCAAGTTTTTCTCTATAAGTGATTATTAGGGTGTTTATAATGGTAACCAAATATTCCATACCTTTCTTACTGAATTTTCTTCTGCCTAATCTGTATGTATTAGCCTATGTTGTTAGGTCAGAAGAAAATTCAGTAAGAAAGTTACAGAATTCTTGGCTACCGGTTATAAACACCCTAATAATCAGGTTTGGTCCAGGTGGTGGAGAGGGAATGAAGGAAAGCAGTAAGCTGTTAAATGACCCATCCCAGAGAAGGATTTGGAATTGAATCATATCAGAAGTTTTATTTATACTTAGGCTATGGAAAAATGATTAACTCATCCTCAAGGGTAGATAAACTTATTCATGTTTTAGGTAATAAACAGGGCACTCATTTCAACACTAAAGACTTGGAGTCAATGGGATATCATTTTTGTGATTTGCTCTTAGACTATTGTGATCCAGACCGAATCAAGGTAAGCAAAGTCTATTTGATAATGCATCAAACTCCAGGCTATCAGATAACATAACCTGCCTATGGACCTATGGCAGTTTATTCCCTTTAATATCCTAACAGTGTTCAAGGCTTTTTGTACTTGATATCCCAATAACTATTATTCCAGGTGTCTATAAATATTCAATTTGTTTGATTAGGAAATATATCTATAATTAATTTGTAAATTATAAATGTATAGACATATTAATCTGTATAATTACATATAAGCATATATAATTAAAATTATAAATATATAAAAAGTTATAAATTTATGAATTAAAATAATCTGTAAATATAATTATACATAAATTTTTAATTAACCCATTTATCATTTCCTCCTAGTATTATCAATGTCTGAAAGAATTAGAAGAAATGGAAAAACATATAAACTTGGGAAAAGTCCATGGTGAGTCAGATACTTCTCTGAAAGAAATTGCATTGGATCCAGAGTCAAGGTAAGTCAAGATGGCAGAAGTAATATAATTTGTTGTCCTATTTTACTATGCGCTTTATAATAATACTAGGATATAATTGTCAGTCTCGACTGAAAATTCCAAATACAAGAGGAGGAAGATTTTCTCCATGCTCATTACTTTGGCAGGACCTCATCAAGACTTCATTTATTTATTCAAGTAATTAATTGGGCACCTACTATGTACTGTGTGTGAAGAACATACTCAAATTGTTTTTAATGCTGTCATTACCCAAGAGACCTGACCCATTTATAGAGATGCCACATAAATTCAAATTTATTAGTGAATAAATCAAAATTCAGTGCTAAGGAATACTGTTAGAAGTAAGTTACTAATTTTAGTTACAATTCCTTTGGAAAGGCAGAACCAATGTTTGATTCTTCACCTTTATTTACAAATTTTCAGACTTTGAGCATTAGCTCTTGCAGCTTCCAATGGAGACTAGTAAATTTGTTTGTAGATGGAGAGTGTAATTTTGAACTCATGGATTTTTTTTATATTTGATGTGTTCCAATTTCATTTCATTTCATTTCATTTCAGTACTCTAAGAAGCCAAGAACTACCAAACACGTATACCTTTGTAAATACTCTTCTTATTATAATTAGATTTTTACCATAGAAATATTATCTATCCAATAAGATAATAAAATAAAAGTAACAATTGAAAATTTAAAATGTCACCAAAACATTCTGTAAACTAAAATAATTTTTTTTTCTGTAGTAGCCAAGGCTCTGACAGTTCAGAATCCAGTGACTCTCAGTCTTATCTTCTCAAGTTAACTTCTCAGGTATGACTGAAAATGCCCATGATATGAATATGATAAGTAAGTACTCTTCTTACTGTGACTAACAATTAGACAAAAAAAATTGTTTGCAGTTGTGTAATTATTGTACAGCAATAATTATTTTCTGATTATGTAGCATACCTTTAAATCACAGAATTTTCTAGCCTTATGGTTTTTTAACACCTTTACTTTATAGATGAGAACGGGTAAGATCCAACGAGATTCAATTCCTTCTCAAAATCCACACCACTGGTTAATGAAAGTTGACACAACAGTCATCACCTGACTACAAGTCCAATATGCACTTATTCATTTACTTTACAACCATATGTTGAACTCCAGCTATGTGCTGGGGCTAAGCAATGAACAAAATGAGACAAAAATCCTTCCCTTTTGTTGCTTATATTGTAATTGGTAGATATAAAAAATAAAGATAAATAAGCAAAATATAAGATGTATCAGACGATGATTAGTACCTAAGGAGAAAACTAGAACAGAGGAGGTAGTTTAGGTGGTATTATGTACTGCATGTTTATGCCCTCACCAAATACCTATGTTGAACCCTAACCTCCAACGTGGTGGTATTAGGAGAAGAAAGAGAGAGATTCTCCTGCTACTCTGTTAGATACTGCTGTAATAAACATCTTAAGTGTGGAAATGGCTTTGGAACTGGGTAATGGATAGAGTTCTGAAGTCCATGTTAGAAAATGCCAATATTGCCATCAAGGGACTTTTAAAGGTGATTCTGGTGAGAGCTCAGAAAGAAAAGAGGAGAGCTTCTACCTTCTGTATAGAATGTTGGCAGAAATATGAATATTAAGGATGATTCTGATGAGGTCTCAGACAGAAATGAGGAATGTACATTGGACAATAGAGAAAACACAATCCTTGCTGTAAAATAGCAAAAAAAAAAAAAACTTGGCTGAATTTTCTTTGTGTTGAGTGTTTTGTGGAAGGTAGAACTGTGAGCAGTAGAATTGGGTATTTAGCTGATATTTCTAAGCAAAGTGCTGAAAAAGCTGCTTGATTCCTCCTGACTGCTTATGGTAAATATAGTAAAGAGGAATTTTACCTCAGGGTTTCACCCATATCTGATTTAAATAATATTGAGATGAGACTTTGGACTTCAGAGTTGATACTGAAATGAGTTAAGTTTTGAGAATATTGGGACGGAATGAATGTGAGAAGGGCATGAATCTGGAGGGCCAGGACCAGAATGCTATGCTCTGAATATTTCTGTCTCCCCAAAATTCATATATTGAAATTATAATGCCCAATATGATGGTATTAGAAGGTGGGGCCTTTGGGAGGTGATTAGGTCATGATAGCAGAGCCCTCTGAATGGAATCAGTGACTTATAAAAGAGGTTCTAGAGATATCCTTCTGCTACGTGAGGACACAACGAGAAGTCTGAAGCCCAAAAGAGAGCCCTCACCTGACCATACTGGCACCCTGACCTCAACTTCCAGCCTCCAAAACTATGAGAAATTAATTTGTTATCTATAAGCCATCCAGTCTTATAAAATAACCCAGTGGTATTTTGTTACAGCCGCAAAACAGACTTAGACAGATGTTGTATTAGTTTTCTAGTGCTGAGTAATAAATTACCCCAAATCTTAGCAGCTAAAGACAACAAAAATTTATTATCACATAGTTTTTGTGAGTCAGGAATCCAGGAGTGGCTTAGCTAGGTGCTTCTAAGGTCTCTCAAAAGCCTGCAAACCAGGTGTTTGAGCTGTGGACTCATGTAAAGGCTAGACAGAGGAAGGATGCACTTTCAAGCTCTCTGTAAGTTGTTGACAAGATTCAGTTCTTCACAGACTGTTCGGGCTGAGAGCCTCAGTTCGTTGCTAGTCATTGGCTGAAGGTCTCCCTCAGTTCCTTGCCATGTGGGCTTCTCCATAGGACAGCTCACAGCTTGCAACTGGCTCCCACCAGAGTGAGCAACCAAGAGAGTGCACACAAGATAGAAGCTACAGTCTCATTGCAGCCTAGTAACAGATGCAGAATTCCATCAGTTCTGCCATATATCATTAGCGGTAGGCCACCAGGTTGGGCCCACCCTCAAGGGGAGAGGCTTATAGAAGGGCAAGAATACTAGGAAAAGGGGATCATTAAAGGCCATCTTAGAGACTGTCTACCACAGATGCAAAAGCCATACTGATTTGATCTTTGCCCTAAGGCTATGTGGAAACCAACCTGCAAGTTCTCGAATTCTGGGCTCTGTTCCCCTCTCAATTCTTTCATCCAAATAATTTTGGAACTGATTTCTTTCTTGTAGCACCTTGTTGAATGAAGCTAGCAATAGCAAACTCATACTCCAACATTCTACCTCAGAATCTCTTTGTCCAGTGACCCAAATCTACTAGGTACATTTTCTGTCTTTCACACCACCAAGGAAGACAGTTTTACTAAATGTATCACCTTTACATAACTTGTATCACTGTTTTTTAGATTCCTGTAACAGTTTCCACACTGCTTGTTGTTACCCAGTCACAACCAATGATTGTCACATAGTTTAGGTTTTTATTAGGACAGCATCCTACATCTAAGTATCAATTTCTGTTTCATATTTTACTACACTAAAACAAAATCCTCAAAATCTCAATGATGTCAAATACCTATCTTCTTGTCATGCATCTGCAGATCGGCTGTCTCTCTACTGGGCTATTCAGGGATAGAAATAAGTTGAACTTATTTCTAGACTGAATTGTGTTCAGGTGTGTTCCGTTCTTCTTTTCCCCAAGACCAGCAGCCAGCCGGGTCACGTTCTGCTCATGGCAAATCACAAAAGTTCAAGAGGGCAAGCCAAGCTGTAGAGTGTATTCAAAGCCCTCGTTCACCATTCCACTGGCTAAATCAAGTCGACAGACCAAACACAACATCAATGGAGTAGGGAAGTATGATTCTATAGTAGTGGGAGAGTGAAATTTGGGAACAATCTAGAGGTATCTGTTCCCAGGCCAAGAGTTCTAGAAGTGCAAAGACAGTGAGAACCATGTCTGTCATCTTCTAGGAAGACAAAGGGGTTAATTTGGCAGGAGAAGATTCAATGGCAGATTAGTTGAAGATAAATTCAATTAAGCTAGCTAATTAAATATATGACTTAATTGTCAAGAAAGTAAAAAATTAAGTTTTGTCAATCAAAAAATCTAAAGTTCAGAAATGTTATGGTATATTCTGTTTTTTAGTGAAAATGCTGGGATGAGCCCCTTCTTGGCTTCTAAAAAGATATTTGAGGTAAGGGAACTACACGAATTTTTCAGCTGACTACCTTAGTCCTTTTCCTCTATCTTAAAGATTTTGATTTTGAATTAAAGCAACAGGTAAAAGTGACTTTTTGATAACAATTACTAATCAGATATCTCCTTATATTCTGCATAGTATCTGCAGCTAGGTCAGTTTTCCACAATGCAGTGCCCATATGATGCATTTTAAAGGGTTCTGAGATCTCAGTCTTCCCAAACTATCCTCAATGGATGCCTTAAAATCTGCAGTTAGACATTTATTTCCGTGCATTTATCATTGCATTATCTGAGTTTCTCTTTTGAAAAGGAATATTTCTGGCATGATTATTTATAACTTTATAGTGAATATCAAATGTTTTATTATCTGTAGTAGCTTATTGAAGCATTGTCATGTAAGGACAATACTAGTACCTAAAAACTGAAAAAGGAATAAAAAGAGAATTCAGACTTTGTAGTTTTGTCTGAACCAGTAATTATTGTATCACTAGCTTACCTTGGCAAATTCTCCTATCCTTAGGAATAATAATATGAACAACCATCTAAACAGTGGAATAGGTAAGTATTTGAGAACAGACTGAATTTGTACAACAGAAGAAACAGCCTTGACCTCTACTCTAAGAACTTGTTTTTTGCTCAACAAAATGAGTTCTGTTGAAATATGTAGTCTCTCTTGCCCTATAAACCTAGATAATTAGATAGGAAACCATCTTTGGCCATACCTGTACTTGGATCTAGAATTGATTAACTTAAACTAAGACTTAATTTTTAAAAATATATTATTTATCATGTTAATGGAAAGAAATCAAGTGATGTAACAAGGTAAGAGGAAGTAATAGAAAAATACTGACTGAATTCTAGACTTGCCCTTCCCTCTTACCAGCTATGTGATCTTGAGCAAATAACTTAACCTCTCTGATTCCTAAGATTCCCTTACATTCCCTCTCTGATGTAAGATGGGAATAACATTAGCCATCCTGCCTATATCATAGGACTGCTGAGAGCACCAAGTGAGATTATATCTGTAAGAATACTTTGCATATTGTGAGGTGTAATATACAAATATAACATGGCATTATATTACTCTCGGTTAGACAGTTCACTCACTGTTGACACTGAAATCAGAATGCCCAGTTTCTTTCAGCTCCCGAAGTATTATTCAGAGACTTAGCAAAGACAAACAAAGATATTTTTTAGAAACCGGTGAGAAGTCAACACAGGAACAAATCAAGAGCACTGATTTCTATGGAAACTGTTTCAAAGTGACATCTTTGAAGTGTCCTGTGAGCAAACAAACTCCCAGTTGGACTGAGAAGACAAGGATACCAACAAAAGGTTTTTTTTTTGTTTAGCATTTTAATAAGTACAAAAGTGGCTTTCACTATATCATCATTAATAAATCCTATGAAATCTGGATTATGAGAACTGTTTTTGTAAACAGAGAGAATTGATAGCATTTTATTCATGACTGAAAAAATACTTCCCTAATTTAATCTCTACATGAGTTGAATACAGAAGAATATTATTTCAGTTGAAGATAGCCTTGAAAAAAATCTATTTAATTGCCTTATTCTCAATATCTCCTGGCTATCAATGCCCTTTTCATACCCCACAATAAAAAAATAATGAACTAGTGATACACCCAACATGGTTGCATCTCATATCACTGTGCTGAATAAGATAAGCCAGATGCAGGAAAGTAAATGGCATGAAATCTCATTTATATGAAATGCAAGCTAATCTGTAGACACACAGACACACACAAAAATTAAGGT